GCCATGGAGACCTACTCACCGTCTGCCTCGCGGCCGATTACCCCAGAGCCAGCCAGGCGTCTGAGGCGCCCAGGGACCGCGGCATCAGCCGCCAGGGCTTGGCGCTCAAGGAGATTATTTTGACGGGGGGCCTGCGCGACTCTGGCGCGGCCCTCAGCGTCGCGCCCAGCGGCGGCGCGAAGCTCGCGGTCGCGCGAGGCGGGCTCGCCGCGCGGCCAAACTCGTCGACGCCGAGGCGCCCAAGCTTCACCTCGACCCAGTGCGGACCGCCCCCTTCCTCGACGAGATTCTGCCGTCGGCTGCGCGGCCGCGCCAGGGCTGGCGCCTTCTCGGCCCGCGCTTGCTCGACGAGCTGCGCGACGAGCTTGAGCGCGTAGGCATGGTCGCGCACCGCATTGCAGTTCGTTGTAGGGTGGGCATCTGTCTCGCGTGGGAGACGACGGGCACGCTCCGCATGGCGATGGGCTGCCGCTGTGCTGGCGGGCTCCACTACCGGGCGCCGCGCTCGCGCCAGGCCGCCGTCAGCGTCGTGGCCTCGCTGGCGCTGGGCCCCGCGCGCGCGGGCCCCTCGGCTGGCGCGACGCCTCCGCTATGGAGCGCGCCATTCGAGTTGCGGGGCGGCTTCTGCCAGTCCTTGGCGCCGACGGTCTCGCATTACAACGGGCCCGGGCACGTCCGACTCGCCGGCGAGGCGGGCGTCGATTCTGTCAACGACCCCGAGGTGGGCCACGAGGTGCCAGTCTTGCCGGTCCCCGCTGGTGGCGTACTTCGGCGGGCTGCCGATGGGCTGGAGCTGGGCGCTGTACTTATGCCGCCGGGCTCTGTCAGCGGCGCGCCGCCGAGTCCGAGAGTTTCTGCGTCTGCCGACCGTGCTTGCCGGCGACTGGCAGCCGCCCCCACCGCTGGCGCAGGGCGTCGCCACGTGCGCGCCGTGCGTGGGCACGCGAACGCGTTGGGGAAGGACCGGGAGGTGGTCGCCCCGCCGTCGACGCGTTCGAGCGCGCGGGCGTCGCGCTCCACGAGTGGGTCGACCCAGCGCAGGAGCGCGGCCTGCGCTTCGACGGCGCGCGGCGTCGAGCGCGGCAGAAGCCCGCCCGCCCCCGGCGGCTTTGCTTCGCGCTGGGCGAGGTCGGCCGCCGCAGGTTGCTCGGCTGGCAGCTGGGGCCGCGCTCGGCAGTTCCTCGTCTTTCTCGTGCACCACTTCAGCTTGAGACGGCGGGGCCACGCTCGTCTTGTCGAGGCGTGCCGCTTCGCTGGCTCTGGGCGGCGAAGTGGCCCCTCTGCTGGCCGCGGTGCTGGATGAACTCGCGGCGGCGCGGTGGCTCGCGCGCGGGGGCGTCGCGGCGCGGATGCCCCCCCGCCGCCGCTGCAGCGACGCGCCTACCGAGGATTGCGCGCTGCGCGCCGCGGACGCGAAGCCCGCCGAGTTCTGGGCGGAGGCCGCGCGGCGGGAACGCCGGAGGTTCGTCGAGCCGGCCGCCGCCCGCGTCGACCTCGCCGGCGCCCGCGCCGACCTGGCGCCGACGTCATCCGAGGCCGCGCGCGGCGCCGCCGCCGCGCTGCCTCCCGCGAGCGGCTACTTCGTGGACTAGGTGGATCAGGCGCTGGGCGCAGCGCTGCAGCGGACAGCGACGGCCGCGGCGGCGACCTCCAGCCTTCCGGCGAAAGGCAACAAAAGCAGCCGAGGGCGCCAGCGCGAGGTCGCCACGATCGCGCCGATGGTCCGCTCCTCGTTCGTGGAGCCACGGCGCTGGCGAAGGCACCTGGCGTCGGGATCCTTGAGACGGGGGTCAATGCAAACGGAGGTCAGCCAGAGCGCCCGATCTTGCAGGATCCTGCAGTGACAGGGTCGCATTGACCTTGGCTTGGGTGCAGGACCCTTCAGTATCTTGCAGGATCCCTCGCGTTGACCCGGGCTTGGGCGCAGGATCTTGCAGGATCTTGCATGACGCTGCAAGGGGTGACTGACCTGGGTCTGGATTGACCAGGGTCAGAAAATCCCCGATGGCAGAGCGCTGGAAGCGCTGGCGTCATCCATTACGATGATGCTCGAGCGGTACGCCTCGGCCCCTGAGATTCGACGGCGCGAACAAGTTGCAGTTTCGTGACACACCGCGCCCGGAGCCCTGGCCCCCATTTTCCTGCGTTATTTTTGGGAGCGATCTGCGAGGGCCCCAGGGCCTGCAAAGGGTCGACAACGCCCGGCTCGAAGACATCGAAGCGCCAGGAGTTCATCTCAGGGGCCTGCGCCGCGAGCTGGAGCTCCGGGGCACCCGCGGCGCAGCGCCCCCGCGCAGCTGCGGGGGGGTGGTGTCTCGGAGGCGCTGGCCTTCGACAGCGGGCGCGCCCAGGACGACGCATATCGTTTTCAGCGCGATGTTTCTCTCAGGGGCAACGGTGGAGGGTTTTTCCGAAGGGCTTAGGCGACCCGTCCTCCTCCTCCTCCTTGTCATCTTCCTCCTTCTCCTCCTCCTCCTCCTGCTCCCTCCTCCTCCTCCTCCTCCTCCCCCCTCCTCGTCCCCCTCCTCCTCCTCCTTTTTTTTCTCTTCCTCCTCCTCCTCCTCCTGCTCCTTTTCCTCCTCCTCCTCTTCCTCCTCCTCCTCCCTCCTCCCTCCTCCTTCCTCCCTCCTCCCTCCTCTCTCCACCCTCCTCCCTCCTCTCCTCCTCCTCCTCCTCCTCCTTTTCCTCCTCCTCCTCATCATCATCACCATCATCATCATCATCATCATCATTCATCATCATCATCCTCTTCCTCCTCCTTCTCCTCCTCCTCCCCCCCTCCTCCTCTCCTCCTCGTCCTCTCCTCCTCATCCTCCCATCTCCTCCTCCTCTCCTCCTCCTCATCATCATCATCATCCTCAGTTTCCTCCTCCCTCATCCTCATCCTCATCCTCCCCCCCCCTCCCCTCCCCCTCACGCTTCTTTCCCCCTCCCCTCCTCCACCACCTCCGCATCCTTCTCCTCCTCCTCCTCCTCCTCCTCCTCCTCCTTCTCGTGTCGCCTACGGCCCCAGGGGAAACCGTGCAGGCAACGATGGGGGGGAGGGGTGCATCGACCCCACATTGCCCATGGATCGCCGATAGGGGCCCGATAGCCCCCACGTGCCCAGGAAGGTGCGGATTTGCTATCGGGGGCCTATCGCCGATATATCGGCGATGTGTCGCCGATTCCAGGTCGATGCATCCCCCCCTATGCCAGTCTCCCCCTGTCGTTGCCCCTCACTCTACGGTGGTAGTGGCCCGTGATATAGCTAACCCGCATAGTAAGGTTGGGCAGTTTTCCCAAGGGTGCCTTTGCATACTTGCCATTCGGTCCGTCCCTGGCCACTTTCGCTGGCCGCGCCCCGCTCGAAAAGCTTCGAAATGGCCTTCCAAGGCCCTTGCATCCTTATCGTGCATCCTCATGATAGGGGTCGACTCTATTCGGTGGTTTTTCCAGAAAGTCGAGTTTCTCGCCCGTCGCACCTTCTTTGGACCCATCCTTGCCTTCCTTCCTCGGACTGGGAACAGATGTGCCGAAAGTTTCGCGCGGCCCAGTTTTCGGATAAGCTCCCACTCACGCCCGTCGCATGTCGTCACACAGGGCCCAGTCACGACGCGTGGTTTTTCAAAGATATACTGATACTCTACTCTGTGACAGATAGCTCAGTCGAGCCTCGGTCTTGCGATGCTCGAAAATAGCTGGAATCAATGAGTCAGCCTCTCTTTCTCGCCAGCAGCTGCAGCAATATGATATCATGTCGGAGCGCCTCCCATCGCAGATCCTAGAAACATTTCGTCTCCCCCCGCGCTGGGAGATTCAGTGCGTTCCCACCTTCGGGCTAGCCGTGCCAAGCGGGGTTCTGGGAATGCGGGCACGAGCAGGAAGGTCTCAGGTCGGACTCCCTGCTCTCGGGGGTGCTGTCGCACCTCCCCCCCGCCATCATGCGTCGCCGTGGTGCTGAAATCGTGCTGGCCTCTCGTCAACTCTTCTTTCTCCCTTGGGCTGTCGCCCTCCGCATGCCCCCCCCTTCTCGTCGGGGTTACAGCCGCTCCGCGGGGTGAAGGCGGGTTGGGGCCGGCGCGACTGCGAGACAGTCATTCGCACAACGAGCATCGACAGCATCTTGTGCCACTGCCTGAAGGGGGGTGGGGCATGCTTCGGGTTGACCCTGGATTGTCGCGCGCAATACATTCGTCGCAATACAATGCAGTACAAGTCTCCGGCGCAGTACATTCGCAACACAAGTGCCCAATACCGGCGCTGCTTCTTAGAAGGCGCGGGCATTATCTATAGATGTGAGGCCGGCGCCTTCTAAGAAGCAGCCTCCTTCTCTAAGAAGCCTTCCCCCCTCCCTCCACCCCCTAGTGCGCGCCGCCAAGGTTGTGCATGCTTAGCAGCACCGCGGAAGCCCTGCAAGACTGGTCTCGCCTTCGGGAGGCGCTCCGCCGGGGTCCCGGGCGAGACCGCGCTGCAGAGGTTGGCCGCGCTCGGCTGCTGTCTGCGTTCCACGCGGGCCAGTGGGCACAGGACCCTCCTCCTCCTCTTCCTCTTCTTCCTCCTCCTCCTGTTCCTCCTCCTCCTCCTGCTCCTCCTCCTCCTCTCCCTCCTCCTCCTCCTCTTCCTCCTCGCTCTTCCTCCACGGCCGGCGCTCATCGGACAAGAGACAACCGCGGGAGCACGCATTTTCGGAGCTCCGCGCGGACCCCCGAAAATTTGGTGCTCGCGCTATTCGTTTCTCCTTCCGAGGGTGCAGCCCCCTTCCCCCTCGGAGGGGACGCCAGCAGTCGTCAGAATGGCCCGTTACGCAACGCTTGGCATCGCTCGGACGTGTGCGCATCCGGAAAAAACACAGGGAATGGACGTCCGAGCGATGGCCAGAACGGTCTCAAACGTTGTATTGCGTGTCAGGGACGGCGGCGGACTGCGGTGCCTGCATCCAGCAGCGCCGCCCTCGCAGTCCTGGAGTCGGTCCGCTCCGGGACTGCCGCAGCTGCGTCTGGTCACCCTCTCTGCCACAGGACGTGGAGGAGAAGATGAGGAGCAGATTCAGGCGCGGCCCCGTTGCGTTCTCCACTTGTGACACCGTCGCTTGTCAGCGCGCTGTTCTGTCGAGCATGTCGTCCGACCACGCCTACAATCCCTCCTTTAGACATCATGGACACGCAATGATACATCAGAGGGGGCACGGGCCTGAGCGACAATCGTTTGTTCTCCATCGGGGCGTGCGACCACTGTGGTAGGTTGCTTGTATGTCCGGCTGTGTGGGCGGCCCCGTGGTGAAGCATTCCTCCACCTTTGCTGCCCATTCCATTCAATCATTGGGCGTAGCGACTGTTTCTGAGCGTGTTTCTTCTCAATCTCGTTTGTCCTAAATCTTGTAGACCAATTCGGGGAATATTTCTTGCCGTCATATCCACCCTGATTTGGGTTGGGATTCTCATTTGTTGTTCCATGTCAGTCGAATTCACGCCTTTCTCTTATAATCTTCGTGCTGGGCTCTCATTTTCCTGCATCGCAAAACTAGAGGGCATGTGCGTTGAGCAGTAGCCTGCTAGGCAGCCGATGCATTGACTCTTTCTGCATCGGTCTTCCCTCCGATTCACGCCCCCCTCTCTCAAGGGCGTGGGGAGCGGGGAGCAGGGAGGATTGGAGGAACATGTATGGCGGTCAGCCCCATGGCATCGTGAGCGTTGCGCGGAGTGCGGGTGTCATCTTCCCCCGACTGCCAGCTTTGTCCCCTACTGGTTCAAGAACGTGGCGAAGGCCATGCTGGTCTGGATGTTCAACATCCTGATCCCGGTCCGCCAGGGGCTCAGAGCAGTAAGGGCACAGGAAGCTGACAAGCGGAGCGGCACCATCTCTCTGAAGCACTTTGCTGCTCGGCGGGGGGGGGGCGGGGGGGGGAGGGAGCGGGCCTCTACGGGGGGTCGGCCCTCCTCCTCCTCCTCCTCCTCCTCCTCCTCCTCCTCCTCGTCCTCCTCCTCCTCCTTCTCCTCCTCCCCCTCCTCCCCCTCCCCCTCCCCCTCCCCCTCGCCCGTCCCGGGCGTGGCCCTCGGGGATGGCCCGGGCCGCGCTCCGAGGCCCCGCAGAGGGAGCTCCGCCGAAGACTCCCTGGTGGGAGGGCCCGCAGGCCATCGCCGCGCCCACGTCGGCACGCCCCTCGTCGGAGACTGGAACAGATACAGTCGGGGCCCTGAGGAAGGAAACCTTTTCGTTGGGAAGGGGCTCCGCGTTCCTTAAGTGTTTCACAGCTTGCCTCAGGCTTTCCCTAGGTTTTCGACAGGGAATCGAAGGTTACCTTATGGAAGAAAGGGGCCTCGTTCCTTATTTAGGGTTCCTTAGGTCAAAGCCCCGACTGTGCATTACATCACCAGCCACCAAACCACCCCAACCCAACCCGAAGGCCCAACTTTGCCCTCGATTTCCAGGGGGGTGGGGGGGGTCGGGGAACATCGAGAAGACACATGGAACATGGAACCCGTACCCCCCCCAACCCGAAATTCGGGTCAAATTCGGATCTTCGGGTTGGGTTGGGGTGGTCTGGTAGGTAGTCATTACCAGTGGCGGGCTGTTCTTCAATGCCAGGACCTTTCGAGGGTCGGGGACGGAGCCGGGATCGTGTGGTGTACATGGGTTTCCGCATGTTCCAGGGCAGGCAGTGGCAGGTGTAGACACCAGTGTCCGCTTTCCCGTGCGAGTTTCGGCGCGGAGCCGGAAAAAGCATCGGTGTATAGAGTTCGGTTCCCTACCTCGCACGTTCTCGTGGCTCTGTAGGGAGCTCTCTGCCGAAGGCCTTGGCGGGAGGGCCCGCTCTTCCAGGACGCTGCCCCGTGCCCCCCGTTCGTCCTGTGGCGCGCCGTCTGTGAGGACAAAAGGCCGCGCCCGACGCCGTTCGCAGTGCGCCCGCCCCCTCGATCGCGCTGCACAAGGTGGGGCCCTTGGCCATAATCATTTGCCATCGACGGCCACCTCAAAGCACGGAGAGCCGAGGCTCCAAGCGCACGCGCGGCTGGCGAGCGTTTTTTTGTATTCGGCGTTTCGACACTGAGCGGAAAGGGGGATGGAGGGGGGGGGGGTCTGGCTCCAGACCTCTGCTTCGGGCGACTGTTTGCGACAGTGCGTCCTGTGAGGGGAGGCTCCACCCGCCCGAGACGGGCGCCAGAAAGCAGCCAAGATCTACTCCACTCCACGGGGGGTAGCGGGACCCCGCCGATCGGCGAAACAAGGAACACAGTCGGCCCAGACTAGTAGGTCGACCCTGCCAAATCAATGGTACCCTCGTGTCCTGTGTCTCGCGACCCATGCTTCCCACATTCCTGTGGCAATGTGGCCCTCGGAAGGGTCTCGGGGTCTCTCGCGTGTCCTGTCCAAGCAAGTCCGACTGTATGAAAACGACTGTGAGGGAGCACGGCAGCTCCAGGCAGCCTGCCCCTGGGGGCCTGCAGGCAGCTCCAGGTCGGGCCGGGGGCTGCGGGCCTGGCGCGTCTGGCTGCGGCCCTGTGGGCCGCGGGGAAGGAACGCCTGCGCGCCGCAGCCGAGCGAGGCAGGGCCAGGTGGGCCGGGAGGGCCGGGGGGGGAGACCCGCTCTCGAGCGTCAGAGGTGCTCCGTCAGAATATGTCCACATCCAACGCTTCGGAGTCGTGCCCTGGGATCTCGGGGAGCGGTGGATCTGGATATCTGCCCGCCCGCGCCAGCGGCCAGATACCCATATCCATCGCTCCCCGAGTCCTCGGAACACGACCCAGCAGCAGTGGATATGGTCATACTCTGGCGGCGCAAGAGGCGACGATAGGGGCGAACATCCCAGGGGCGAGCAATACATGTATTCAGGTGCGCCGATATCGTCTATGTCTTCGACAGGGCTCCCGGGCGAATGCGCGTGATGCCCGCCCCTGGGCTACCCGCCCCTGTCGTCGCCGCCGACTCGAGCGGCCCGCGGCGGCCGCGGGGGGCCCACGGGCGAGAGCCCCGATCGGAGCCCTGCCCGAGGCACGGGCACGGGGGCCTGGCCGATCCGGAGGTCCGGGAGCCTCGAGACGGGGGTCGATGCAGAGGGGGGCCGCCAGAGCGCCGGATTTTGCAGGATCCTGCAGGGCCTCCCAGATGGGGTCGGAGCAGACGGGGTCGGAGAATTGCGCCGATGCATCGCCGATGCGGCTCGATGTGGGGCCCGATTTGCTTCACGGCGGCGTCGCCGATGCATCGCCTGCGTCACCGACCGGGGCTTGGGCGCAGGATCCTGCAGGATCTTGAAGGATCCTTCGCATTGACCCGGGTTTGGGTGCAGGATTCTTGCAGGATCTTGCAGGATTCTGCAAGGCCTGACTGACCCTGGTCTGGATTGACCCGGGTCAGAGGATCCCCGAAAGATCCGAGGAAGAGGAGGTACTCTGGATCGCTTAATAATCGCCCCCTCCCCTTGAAGTGCCGAGGGGGGAGTTGGCCGCGGCGCGTCCCCGCTGGGGCGGGGTGGTGGTGCCGGGGGGAGGGTTGGCTGCGCCGCGTTTTCACGTTTGTCACCCCCCGGTTGATGAATAAGAAGCTCGGAGTACCCATACCTCCACGCTTCGCCCGTTTTCCCTTTTTGGGGCCTCCTGGGAGGCCCTCGTCGCCACCGTTGGATTCGCCCCGAAATCCTGGTCAGAACGCACCGAGGCCCAGGGAGTAGCGGGGTAGGTATCTTTGGATTTCCCCAGAATCGGGTGTCTTCTGGAGCCATGAGCCGCTTCCTGGGGACCAGTTCTTCGACCAGGATGGCTGAAGTTGGGGCCTCGCTCCTCTCCCCCACCCTCACCCCTCGCCTCTCCCTATCCTCCTCCGCGTTCTCCTCCCTCCCCCTGCGGGCGGTAGCCGCGCCAGAGCACAGGTCTGCTACGTGCTGGACGTGCTCCGGCAGAGTGTCCGCAGGCTCCGAGGGCATGATGATTGTGATGATGATGGTGATGATGGTGATGATGATGGTGATGGTGATGATGATGGTGGTGGTGGTGATGGTGGTGGTGATGGTGAAAGTGATGGTGATAATGATGTTGATGCTGATGGTGATGATGATGCTGATGCTGATGATGAGGAGGATGATGATGTTGTTGAGGATGACGAGGACGTTGGTGATGATGAAGTGAACAAGGATGATCCTAGCATGATGATGATGATGATGATGATGATGATGATGATGATGATGATGATGATGATGATGATGATGACGAGGAAGAGGATGATTATGCTGATGCTGATGCTGATGCTGATAATGGTTATGACGATGAGGAGGAGGACGAGGATGTGGATGTGGATGTGGATGATGAGGAGGTGGAGGAGGAGGAGGAGAAGGTGGAGGTGGATGAGGATGAGGATGAGGATTATGATGATGACGGTGATGATGCTGCTGATGCTGATGCTGATTATGATGCTGATTATGCTTATGCTGATGATGATGATGATGATGATGATGATGATGATGATGATGATGATGCGGTGGTTGATGATAACGATGACTATGACCATGACGCCGACGTCGAGGAGAAGGATTATGATCATGTTGCTGCTGCTGATGATGATGATGCGGATGCTGCTGTTGCTCCTGCTGCTGATGATGATAATGATGATGATAATGATGCTGATAATGCTGTTGATGGTGATGATGCTGATGATGCTGATGATGATGATGGTGATGATGATGATGATGCTGATGATGATGGTGGTGGTGGTGATGATGATGCTGATGATGATGATGACGCAGTAGGTTGTTGCAGTTCCCCGACCCACCAAGGAACTCCCCCACTCGTGTTTATGTTCCCTGTTTCTTTCGCTGAGGGGGGGGATCGGGCGTTGCTTGTTTTATTTTTCTGATTATCGGGGGTCCTCCGCCCCCCCCAGGCCCCAGGAGGGAAACCTCCGAAAACGGCCACCCCAGGTCCTCGGGGGAAAGACCCTTAAACCAAAAACAGTTGTTTTCTATATAGAAAATGTTTTCTGGGATTTTCCGGCGGGTATCTGGCCAACCCATGCACAGGCCCACTGCCCCCCCCCGTCGGCGACCCTCCGCTCGTTTTATTGCGAAGGCCTTACGACAGGTGCCGCCGACCCTGAGGTTTAGGAGGAGGGTGGAAGAGGTGGATGAGGAGGAGTAGGAGCACAGGGGGGGAATGAATAGGAGGAGAGTGAGGCGAGCAGGGTCGCGGGGGGGCACGAAGGAAGGGCAGGGGCGAGTAGAGCGTGTCGATCATGAGGAGGAGAAGGAGGGAGATAATGGCGAGGATGTTGACGATGTTGACGACGATGCCGGTTGCCTATCAGGACCATTCGGGGTGTCTTGGAACCCTCCTGGGGCGACTTCCAGGCTTCGTTCGTTGTTTTGAACCTAGATTCGGCATCTTGGACATCCGGGAGGCCACGGAGGTGTAGTTAGATTTAGAGGGCGCCGGGGCCGGGACCTGGGCCAGGGCCGGGGCCGGAGCGGGCCGGGAGCGGGGCCGGGGCCGGGACTGGGGCCGGGGCCGAGGCTGGGGGGCCGGGACTGGGGCTGGGCCGGGGCTGGACGGGGCCGGGGCCAGGGCCGGGGCCGAGGCCGGGACTGGGTCCGGGGCCGGGGCCGGCGGGGCGGGAGCGCTCCGGGGCCGGCCGGGATTTCCCGGGGTGTTTTGGCCAACCCATGCGCAGACCCAACGCCGCCCCCCCCCCCATCGCGGACCTTCCGCTCGTGTAATTGTTTGTGGGGTAAAAGGTCGTTCGCTTGTTCTTCTCAAATTGCTTAAGTGCTTTGTTATTCGTGTTGTGTGGTGTCGTTCGGCTGTTTGGTGTTCTCAACTATCCAGGGGTGTTGGGTCTGCGTTTGGCTTGCTTACTAACCCGCGTCAGCGGACAGGAAGCATCATCAATGAGTCTTTCTTCAAGGGATCCTTATTGAGGGAATCTTCTGCGTAGACATCACTATGGCTGGAGGCATCCTTACTGACGAAGGCTTACCAAAGGCACCCGCACTAAAGACCCCTCATTAAAGGGAGCCCCCATCAGTGTCCTTTGATGCAGACAGCTTTACAACAGATGCACTAAATAATTCCTTGCGCAGGAACCCGAATTCAAACGGAAGTGGTTCCTACGGGCCTTTGTTACAGGCATCTGTATTGGGGAGGTCCAGAAATGGCCCCAGCGGAGGTTTTCGCATGGCGTCCTATCGGGGTTTCTTGAACTGCGCTTTGTGTGAATGTGAAACGGAAAGACGGGAGAGGGACAGAGAGAGAGAGAGCGAGAGAGAGAGAGAGAGAACGAGAACGAGAGGGGGAGAGAAAGAGAGAGCGAAACAAGAGGGAAAGAGATGGAGAGATAGAGATAGAGAGAGAGAGAGAACAAACATAACAGTCAGATCCTCCTATCACGCCCCCCTCTGTCTTGTGGGATCCGAATAACTTCTCACTAAAGGATTCCGAATCCGTCTTAAAAAGGAATTGGTCGAAAGGCATCCTTCCTACAGAGACCCTTATTGAGGACATTCTCTGTGAGGCGAGCGCAAAGTGTCAGAGATGGAGATAGAGAAAGAAAGAACGAGAGAGAGAGAGAGAGAGACCCCCCGTCTCAAAGTACGGTCCTCGAAAGTCCAACCCCGCGCCGTTTGGCAAAGGTTTGGAGCTCCGAGGACAATGCTCGGGGGGTCATATGCTTCTTGTCCATGGGCTGTCCTGCAAGATACCCTCAAGCTGTCAAGATATCCTCCTGCAAAATACCCTCGTTTGTGCCACGGTGCTCGAGGGAGGGGAAGAAGGAGGAGGAGGAGGAGGAAGACGATGAGGAGGAGTATGAGGCGTGTGGCTGGCAAGGTCTCGTGTGGCAGACTGCACTGCGCACTCCACAATGGCTTGGCTTCGTCGTTTCATCCTGAGTGGTCTCTTGACGGCCCCGGGGCCCGGCGAGGGCCCCTGGAGGCCAAACATGACAACACCTCCCGCCGCGTCTTGTTGCGACGCGGCCTGCCTGGGGTTGAGTCGGGCCTGTCCCTCTACAGGGGGAATGTTCAAAAACAATCAAAAAGTAGTATGGGGACGTTCTTCTGAAAATTTTCGACCATTTTGGATAATTGTTTGGAGTATGTTTCATCAGTCGTCCGAAATCCCCCTGCAGGGAGACATGCCCGACGTAAGTCTGGGGCCCTCCCGCCGACGAGCGACCCCGCCCCCCCAGGGCCGCTGGCAAGGCCGGCCCGGGCGAGGGCATCCTGTCGCCCGAGGGGCAGCAGCTCGCGAACATGCTCTTGCCGCGCCGCCCCTCCCAGCCGTGCCGCGCGGGCCCCTCGCGGAGGACGAGGAAGAGGAGGAGGAGCAGGAAGAGGAGGAGGAGGAGGAGGAGGAGGAGGAGGAGGAAGAGGAGAGGGATGAGGAGGACGCGGAGGGGGAGGGGCCGTAGCCATTTTGGCTGATGCCTGTCCGTAGGCCCCCTGTTCCTGGACCTCGTCACTCGGCGTACCCTGCAACCCCTGTCTGCGTCTGCCGTGGTGGTGGGCCTCGTCGAGGCGTTCGCGCGACTGTAATGTTCTCGATTGAGTCGAGCATGCTGCTGGGAACCGTTTTGCCATCGATGCTGTCCTCGTTGTTGACGTCTGCTGGTATGTGGATTTCTGCCCCAGCTATCGTCGGCCACAGTGGATTCGCATTGGATGGTGGTCCCGGGCGCAGCTCGTACCTCTCGTTCACCCCGTCGAAGTGGTTGACAGGGGCTCTGTGCTCGGCGCTGTAGTTCCTCAGGATCATAAACTCCTCGCCGGTAGCTTCTACCAGCGGCGCGATTCTCCATTAGGGTCCCTTTCAGCTGCGTGGAGGCCGGCTCGTTTCTGTCGAGTCGTGGGGAAATGGTTTGTCTCGAAGATTATGTTTTCGCATCGTGAGGCAAAGCCTTTCCATGGTTGCCAACGTATGGGTCTGGTATAGGAGGAGGGTCAAAGCTTTGCTTAGGCCGAGGGCGTTGCTGTTCTGGTCGGCGACGTGGAGCAGGAAGGACTAGTGGCAGGCCTTCGAGTGGATGGCCGTCCTTTCTGCGTCTTGCAGGTCTGCTCGTGTCTGGACCTGCGTGGTCATGACCTCGTGGATCTGCTCAACGTTGGACGTCTTTGTGCAGCGGCAGCGTGGACCTGTCTGCGGAGGCACAGGGCAGATCAAGTTCTTCTCGGCCATCTCCTTCGCTCTTCCTAGTGGCAGGGCATCGATGAGTGCTCGTCGTACCGCGTTCATGTTATCTTGGATAGTAGAGTGCAGACCCCGTAGTCGATCATCGCGATGCATGGCTCGATCCCGCTGCCAAGCTGCCGGCCCCAGTGGAGGTCGACCGCTGGCTTCATGGCGGGCTCGTCCATAGCGAATTGAATGACTCAAGGTTGGCACTGATGAGGTCTCTGTCCTTGAGCCACACGCTGCAAGTATGGGTAGCGTAGGGGGGGGGAAATTGCTGTTCGATGGCAATATGATCTATGCTGTCTTTTCGCTTTGCATGGTCGCTCCGGTCTGTCACTGGTCGATTGAGGGGGGCAGCCTCCTTTCAGGCCAGGCGTGCGAGAACTTTTGGTAGACGTAGTTCAAGGTTGAGTTGAGGCAATGCCTATCAGGGGACACGCCCCGAGTTGCGTGGGCCGCGCGGTTGGCTGATTAATCCTTGTCAGTCGCGCGAAGCGTGGCAGTCGGAGGTGGTAGAACTTGCTATGCTAGGTTTGTGTGAAGTGCGGGTCCAGTGGTGCGTAGAAGGACAAGTCGCGTTGTTCGATGTACCATGCTTCCGTATCTGGCGTTTTTTCCACCCGTCTCCTCGCCGCCTCGGACAGCGAGGCTGTAGTACCTTGCTGAGCTCGATCGGGGACAGTGGCGACCCATGCCAAGAAACACCCTGCTTGCCTCCAGGGTGCCCTGGGTTTCTTTGGCTTCGATGGTCTGACCATGGAAGGCGTGACGTTCCCACACCGAACATCGATGGGCGCCCTGGGGTCTCAGGGTCAGGCTTCTTCTGGAAGGTTTACTGTGGTCGGGCCTCCACTGTAGATCCTGGCTGCTGCGCTTCGCCACGTGCCCCATAGACGCGCCAACGGCGATGCAGGTAACGGCGATGTAGGTTTCGGTGTTGTGGGAACGCGCGTCTCGTGCTTTCCTACAACTCGCTGTGTCGTTTTCGTTCTCGATGCATCTGCAGACCGGACATGCAGGAGAGTGAGGCTCGTGCTTCCCTACAGTTTGGTTCTCGACATCACCGTGAAGCAGCACCGCCCCTGGCGTGGCCTCGGGCGCCGTTCTCGCTACGCCCGAGCAGCGGCGGATGGCGCCCCCGGCCCGCGGTGGCACCCGCCTCTTCTGCTGGGCTCCGCGAGGCGCGCGGGGAGCCCAGGGCACGCCTACACCCCGAGTGAGCTCGTAGGCGTGCGGACCTTCTGCGCCCACGCGCGCCGGTCGGAGGAAGCGAGCCGTACACTGACGGGCCCGTTTTCCATCACCACCACCACAGGTAGGAGAGGGAGGGGGTCCCAGTCCTCCTCTTCGTCGTCGTCCTCCCCCTCCTCCTCCTCCTCCTCCTCCTCCTCCTCCTCCTCTTCCCCGAAAGAAGGAAGAGGAGGAGGAGGACGAAGAGGAGGAAGAAGAGGACGACGAAGAGGAGGACTAGGACCCCCTCCCTCTCCTACCTATGGTGGTGGTGGTGGTGGAAAAGAAGCCCATCAGTACGTGAGGTCGGCGTGGGAGTCGCCATGGTCGGGCCCCTGCCGTGCTTCGGCGTCTGGGCAGCGCCGCCCGCGAGCCCTGGGGGCCGGCCCAGGTCGGCGGCCGCGGTGGCCGAGCGGCGGGCCCCCCGTCGGGGGCGGCAGAGAGGGGGGTGATGACTTCGGGTTAAGTCGGGCCGGTCCCCCAACAGGGGGATTTTCGAGGAGAAATAAGACATACCCCCAAAATAGTCAAAAAAAATCAAAAAATAGTCTGGGGACTATTTTTGGAGCATTTTTTTTTTTTTTTTTTTTTACCTTTTGAGGGTATTTTGAGTGTATTTTTTATTTTTCGTCGAAAATCCCCCTGTAGGGGGACAGGCCCGACATAAGACTAGGGGGGCGTGGATATCATGGCGTGGGCCATGATATCTCCCCAGATGTCATGGCGCCTCCTCTCATTTCGTTACGCCCCCCCGCTGAGCCGCGCACATGCCGCCGGTCAGGATTTGCACCCCCCCCTCGTGGACACCCCCCTCGTGGCCGCTCCCGACCCCGTCCCGCCGGCCCGCCGCGCGCTCCCCCGCGTCCAGACGGATGTTGTCGGTCGACGTCTGTTCGGTGATGGCGCGCGGGGAGCCCAGGCACGCCTACGCTTACGTGGCTCCCGTCGTACTTATCGGGGGCGGCAAAGAGGGGGGTGATGACTAGGGAAGGGTGGATATTATGGCGGGGGCCATGATATTTCCTCAGATTTCATGGCGCCTCTTCTTATTCCATTACGTCTCTGGCCCCCCCGCTGGGCCGCGCACATGCCGCCGGTCATGATTTGCACCCCCCCATCTTGGACACCCCCCTCTTGGCCGCTCCCGAACTTAAGGACCATATCCCAGAAATAATTTCGAGCACCTGGAAAAGTGTCGAACGAGTGTCGAAGCAGTGTCGGACGAGTGTCTCCTAGGGCCCGACGCGTGAAAGCTCTCCAGTTTCGGTACTTTTTCTTTGGTGCTCAAAATCCTTTCTGGTGATCGAGGCCAAAGTAGGTTGGAACATCATAAGCCGATACCCCGAGTAAGCTCGCAGGCGTGCGGGCCTTCTGTTCCAACGCGCGCTGGTCGAAGGAAACGAGCCGTACACGAGGTCGGTGCGACACACGCCATGGCGCCAGCATCGTAGAGCGGATCTCGTTCGAAAAACAGTGGGATGGGCCTGCACTGTCCTGGAGCATGTCGTTCCAGATTTCGGAATGGATTTCGTTAGGTTTTTTTTGGCAGGAATGAAGACTACAAAAAATCCACGTGCGCCCATGGTCCATATGGTGATCGTTTTCTTATTCATTGCTTTGCCGGTCGTCGCGACCCCCCCCCTCCCCCCAGATCTTGGCTGTGTTTGGAGCCTGTTTCGGGTAGGTGGAGTCTTCCCCATGATGGACGCACTGCTGCAAACAGTCGCTTTAAGCAGAGGTCCGGAGCCAGACCCCTATCTTCACCCCCCTCACTTCCGCCCATTGTCGCAACGCCGAATCAGAAAACGCTCACATTTTGCCGGCGTGGAGGATATTGTATCTCAGGTAGTAGCCAGCTGCTTGGCACCAGTCTGCTGTCGTGGACCGTCTCAGGATGCTCCACGCTTGCAGGCGTGCCCGTGGCGCATGCCACGTGCAGCATTAGTACCGTAGTGCGTAGGAGCTGGTTGCCGATGTCGATAGGATCGCTTTCCTTATCCGTCAGGTAGATCAGGCCCCATGGTTGGTCCCGGCTGCGTAGACGGAGGAAGAGGATGAGGAGGAGGAGGAGGAGGAGGAGAGGGAGGAGGAGGAGGAGGAGGAGGACGAGGGGTCGAGGTTGGTGCTTGGCGTCAGGTCTGTCTCTTGGCTCTTGCTGCACTCCCTGTCTCGCGGCCTCGACTTTTTTCCGTCCCGCATCCTGTTGATCCAAAAGTCGATCGTGGTCCAGGTGGTTCGGTCTCCCGCGGTGGCATGGTGGGCGACGTCGACGGACAGCGCACAGGCTTGTGGACTCTGTCGCGGTTGGAGGTGTTTCATCCATGATTGTAAGTCTCTTTCTCGTCTATGCCCGTTGTAGAGATGCGGGACGAAACGTACAAAATGTCCCCCGTGTCGCGGTATACGTGGGTTTGTCATATGCCGATCGTCAATTGGTAGCTCCACGTGTGGAATTCTGTCGTGAGTCGCCAACGTGTCCCCAGCGCACGTCGGGAGAATGTCGGTCTTGTACCTGGGAATGCTGGCGTAGTCGGGTGGTCTGCCTGCTTCGATACTGGCGCGCTGCGGAACTCGTATTTCCTTTCTGTTTTGTTATGTTTCGTCGTCGCTGTACGGTAAAACTCCTGTCATCCATGGTACCGCGCATGATGGCGTTGCTTGGAGGAGCTTGACGAGCCTCGCGTACGCGTGGTACTGGTAGCTGCAAGTCAAGCACGTGGAGCCGCGTGCCCATTTTGCGTGGTGGGTGCCATTCTTGTGGTGCTTCCCGAGATGAGCGTAGCACATTAGGGTCGGTGGTAGCACATTAGGGTTGGTGTGTCCGGTGGTGGTGGAATGCTTGTTATTGGTGGCATATCG